CCTCTTCAGCCACTGGTCACGATTTTCAAATCATGTCGCCTCTTTGACCCAGTCAAAGTGAAAGAGATGCAACCTGATGCTGCTGCTGTCCACACACTTCGCTGTGTTCCCATTTTTCATGCAGACAATGTCATTCAACCTCTTCAGGGTGAGCTTGCAACTTATCAAGCTCTGACTGATGACGTTGCGGTAGAGATAAATGTGCTGGAATGGTGGAGTCAGCATAGCAAAGAAATACCGAGTTGAGCAAGTGCATGTAAGCAGATCTTGTTATTGCAGCCATTGTCAGCTGCTTCTGAAAGGGTTTTTTCGCTTCTGCAGAATTCCTTCAACAATCGACAAGAACGAGCCTTAGAAGATTACATCGAAACGTCACTAATTTTGCAGTATAACAACAAATAACTTCATAGGGTTCCTAGAATGATTTCGAGGATCATGTATTCATGTTTTTTTGGCGGTATTCATAAACCTGTATTCGTTGTCGTTACTTGTAACACTTGTACGTAACTGTAAACTTTCAAATTAATTAAAAAAAAACCTTTGTAGAATGAGCATTATCCGAGCATTTTAGTTACTTTTTTGGGGGAGACCGAGTATTTTAGTAGGAAAAATGGAGCATTAAGGTGGAGCATTTTAGTGGGGAAACAAAAGCATAATGTACAAAAGCCTATTGGGCACAGCCGTGCGTACATAAAGATTTTGTTCATGTTGACCCAATGGGAATTAGATTAGACTAGCGCGCGCGCTATGTTATAATTAACAATTGGTTCATACGTCAGCGTGCGCATCCTCGGAGACCCAGGGGCTGTGAGTCGATTTTAAGTTAAGGGCAGAAGAGCCCCTGGGGACATTGTCTTATAAGACTAGTTCCAAACGGTCGCAGTCGTTCTGGCATCTGATTGGTGCCAGATAATCTTTATGTTTTTCTGCCCAGTCAGAGTGAACTGTGCTTTGGAGTCTTTTCGTGTGTTTTCATACGGACATGTAACAAGAAGCTCTGTTGCTCGCTATGCTTGTTTGGGCCGTGCGACGAAGCTTTGCCCGAGGTGAAAAGTTTCAGTCTCAGCACACAATGTAAGAGAAATCGATCAGATTGTCCGCGAAATCTCACCGGAAATTATACTGAATACTTTCGCAGGTATCACAAGAGAACACGTTTAAAAGTTTGCGTGGTTCGTATAAAACATAATGGTTGCAAACATTGATATGTCGCTTTAAACGTTAGATGAGATGTAAGCCTAAATCTCTCAAGATTTTTTGTATAATTTGCTGTAACTGAAACTTTTCCAATCCCGTGAAGCTATTTCGTCGCACGGGCCACGCAGGTATGTCGACCAACTGGCGCTTACGCAATTCTTTGTGCACGCCCGGCCAAAATCTAATGTGATCTTCGCTTGAAAAAAAAAGAAAAGCTAACCGTGGAAACTTTTGTTTATTAGATGTGGGTAGATAACCCTGTACTAAGCTGACATTTACAATAAAGGAAGCCCGCCCATTTCATCCAATATTTCTTGGTCCAGTTGGTTTTGTTTTCCCCAATGAAAGCAGCATCGATTCCCAATGATCAAAGGTATTTAACTTGGTCTTCAACAATCGATAAAAGAGGTGAAATGACCAAGGCACTAGAAGAGAATTCGTGGCCTTTCGAGCTCAAGAATCTGAACACTCTACACAGCAGTTGAAAGATTTAACTTTTTCCAAACCCCTTCGGTAACTGTCCGAAAACATATCTCCTTTCCACGACGTTCTCGATGATTAGGTTTTGTTCAGATTTTAATTAGCTAACCGGAAACACAGCTAAGGTTTCTTTAAGCGCTTGCTGGGGGTCGTCCACGTACTTAACGTTCTCTGCAACCTGGGCCATATTGCGAAGGACTTTACTACAAAGCAACGAGTAGAATTTGGCGCGCACAGAAAGCTACGTAAGCGTAAGCGCCAGTTGCTTGACATACCTGCGTGGCCCGTGCGACGAAATAACTTCACGGGATTGGAAAAGTTTCAGTCACAACAAATTGTACAAAAAATCT